TCATACTAGCTAACACTGGTATAGCAGAGATTGCTGTAGTCTAGCTAATATCCACTGTACAATTCTGTTTGGAGTAAAAAAAATGCCCTGCTTAAAAAAATACCTAGGAGTGGGTATGTGGTGTAATTCTGGCAAGAGATATAAGTAGAAGTAGCTGAGAGGGGCTGCAAAGGAAAGCTTGTAAGGGAGTAAACTCAAAGTGCTCTTGCCTGGAACTCATTGTAGGAGATGGAACAGCCATTTTGAAGCCAGTAGAAAAAAAGCAAGAGATGAAAGACCACATGTTAGGGGTAGCTAAGAAGAAAGATAAAAAGAACTTGGGTTCCTAATGACAATGAGAAACCAGAATAGCAGCTCTGGACTGTCTATTTCCAAACGTATTATGAGTGAGAAAACAAAAAACAAAAAACAAGCTTCATATTTGTTTAAGCTTCACTTGGAGGTTTTGTTACATCTAAACACAAACCTGGCAGATACATCCAGATACTACTCATTTTATGCTTTGACTAAATGATAGGTGGAAAATAATCTGATTTTTTCTGACAATTAGTGAAGTTGAGCAATTTTTCATATTTTTTGACATTTAGATTGTGTATGTGAATTGGGTGTTCATTGTTATTTTTTTTAATGTTTATTTTGAATTTTTCAACGTTTATTTATTTTTGGGACAGAGAGAGACAGAGCATGAACGGGGGAGGGGCAGAGAGAGAGGGAGACACAGAATCGGAAACAGGCTCCAGGCTCTGAGCCATCAGCCCAGAGCCTGACTCGGGGCTCGAACTCACGGACCGCGAGATCGTGACCTGGCTGAAGTCGGACGCTTAACCGACTGCGCCACCCAGGCGCCCCTTAATGTTTATTTTGGAGAGAGAAGGACAGAGCACGAGCAGGGGAGGGTCAGAGAGAGGGAGACGCAGAATCAGAATCAGGCTCCAGGCTGTGAGCTGTCAGCACAGAGCCGTTGAGAGGCTCAACTGCAAGGACTGTGAGTTCATGACCAGAGCCAAAGCCAGAAGTTTAACTGACCGAGCCACCCAGGTGCCCCTTGAATGTTCGTTATTTTATTGGGTTTTTAATTTCCTTATTACCGATTTATAGACTGTCTGATATACATATTTCAAATATTTTACAAAGTGTGTTACTTGGATACAAAAATTTAAACATTTTTTTGGTTGTGGTAAGAGTATTTATTTCAGGCAGTACTCTAAGTACTTAAATTACTACCTTATTTGTTCCCTTCATTACAACCCTATGAAGTAAGTGCTATGATTACTGTTCTAATTAACCAAATGAGGATCCTGAGGGAGAGAAAATCAGTTACTGGCCCCAGGTCACTCAGTTGGAGCCGGGAAATGAAGCTAGGTAGCCGGAGCCTACCGCCTCCAATATCTGTGTCATACTCTGTCATTATCCTGTCAGTAATTTGCTTAAATCTGTTGAAAGAGTCTCGTCTGCCCCAAGATTTCAAGAATACTTTATTGTTTATTTCAATACCCAAATAATTTCTATAGATCTCCTTGCAATATAATTTTTTTTGTGATTTTTGCTATTGTGGTAAAATATACGATTTACCACTTAAACCATTTTTAGAGTGTTTTTTGTTTGTTTGTTTTTCAAAATGTTTATTTTTGAGAGAAAGAGAGTATGCAGGTGCGTGAGTGGGGGGAGGAGCAGAGAAAGAGGGAGAGAGAATTCCCAGCAGGCTCTGCACTATCCCCGGGGAGCCCAATGCAGGGCTCAACTCCATGAACTGTGAAATCATGACCTGAGCCAAAATCAAGAGTCCAATGTTTAACTGACTGAGCCACCCAGGTGCCCCTGATTTTGTTTTTTGTTTTTTTTTAAATAAGCTCTTTGAGCACATCGTATACACTGTATGTTAGCTAACTTGACAATAAATTATTAAAAAAAATTAAAAAGTAAATTAAGCTCTTTGCCCATTGTGGGTCTTGAACTCAAGGCCTTGAGATCAAGAGCTGCATACTCTATGGACTGAGCCAGGCAGGTGCCCCCATTTTAACCATCTTTAAGCATACAATTCCATGGCATTAAGTACATTCACAATATTAGGCAACTCTCACCACTCTCACCTCCGAAGCTTTTTCATCACCCCTAAAAAGAAACTCTGTACCAATCAAACAATAATCGTCATTCCCCTAATATACATATACTCTACTATTATTTATCATAAACCTCAGAAGAGCCCTCACCCTGACGCCCAAGGAAGTTTTTGGTGCTTATTCTAATACTCTTGAGTTATCTGGATTATTCATCTAATATGCATTTTCCCAGATTATATCATATCCATTGATTCTAAGATACTGTTTTTTTTTTTTTTCATACTGTAACACATTTGAAATCAAATCCCATCTTACAGTCAGTGACATCTTAGATTCAATAAAATCCCTTTTAGAATTGTTTACAGCCAAAGTGCTGTGTTCAAGTTACTTTAGTTTGGTCTCTCTCCACTCTTTATTTCAGTATGGGTATATTATTCATTTAACAATTAATTTTGTATCTGCTTGCCTATAGTTTTACTCCCATGCTTCTTGATTTAATTTTCTTTTTGATATGTAGAACGTTACACAAGCTTCCAAAAGTAAAATTTATCCAGAAAGGTGAATTTGGGAAAATGTCCTTCTTTCCCTTCCCCCTTTCACCCTGTTCTCTCTATAGTAACCAGCTTCATTGTTTTCTGCTTTTTCCAGTGTTCTTTTATACAAAAATATGCGTGTATTTCTTTCTTTCTTTCTTATCCCCTTCTTTCTTATCCAAAAGGTAATATGTTAGGTATTCTTTTGTACTCTGCTTTTTTCAATTTAATATTTCACAGAAAACACTCTTCATTGGTTCATAAAGATTGTGTTCATTGTTTACAACTGTATAGTCCTCCACTGGTGTATGCGACATAGTTTATTCAGCTATGCCTAAATGGGAATTTAGGTAATTTCCCAAATTTTGCGATGACAAACAATACATTTGCATTTTTATATTATTGGAGATTTATCATCCGGATAAATTCCTGAAAGTAAGGTTACTGGTTACAAAGGCATATGTAGTTTCCTCACATATCGACAACTTCTGCTGTACAGAGATTGTACCACATAACATTCCCACAGTGTATGAGAGTGCCCGTTCCCTGCAGCTTCTCCAACAGAGTACCTGGTCAAGCTTTTAAAATTGTGCCACTATGATAGGTGAGAAATGGTATCTCGATGAGTTTTTAATTTACATTTGTGCTTTTTTCATTTTTCTCCCAAACTAGGTTACTATGACTGGCTTAATTATGAATAATTCCCTAGGTCTGTAATAGGGATGTATTTTCCCCCTATTTCAAGGGCTCTCCATACAGTTATCTGAACAAAATTGGGGTTTGGTCAACATCAAAGAAATGCATTTCTAACTAGAGATAATGACTGTTGAGTAGGCAAAGGCGAGTGTGTTCAGAAACACAGAGGGTAGATCTACCCTAAGTTCACTTATGCATGTTCTCTCACATGATCCTTGAAAGAAATTTAGATGTAAAAATACGGTGAGTAACTAAGAAACACACTGGTACATTTATTAATGCTTATGCTGACTGGCAAGGTAGGGAGTAAATGTCAAAATTTGTATAGATTATTTTTCATTTTAAAAATAATAAAATTGGGGCGCCTGGGTGGCTCGGTCGGTTAAGCGTCCGACTTCGGCTCAGGTCACGATCTCGCGGTCGGTGGTTTCGAGCCCCGCGTCGGGCTCTGTGCTGACAGCTCAGAGCCTGGAGCCTGTTTCAGATTCTGTGTCTCCCTCTCTCTGTGACCCTCCCCTGCTCATGCTCTGTCTCTCTCTGTCTCAAAAATAAATAAACGCTAAAAAAAAAAAAATAAATAAAAAAAAATAAATAAAAATAATAAAATTATTGGGGTCCTTGGGTGGTTCAGTCAGTTAAGCACCTGACTCTTGGTTTTGGCTCAGATCATGATCTTAGGGTTCTTGGGTTCAAACCCTACATTGGGCTCCGTGCTGATAGCGCAGAGCCTGCTTGGGATTCTCTCTCTCTCCCCTTCTCTCTGCCCTCACCTGCTTGTGCACACTGTTTCTCTCAGAATGGATAAATTAAAAAATAATAAAATTATTTAAAAAGTGGTGTTGAGATAAACTCTGAGTCATGATCTAAAAGCTGTGAGCGATTCGGGGAACCTAGGTAGCTCAGTCAGTTAAGTGTCTGACTTGGGCTCAGGTCATGATCTCGTGGTTTGTGGGTTCGAGCCCCGTGTCTGGCTCTGTGCTGACAGCTCAGAGCCTGGAGCCTGCTTCAGATTCTATGTCTCCCTATCTGTCTACTCCTCCCCTGCTTGTACTCTGTCTTTCTCTCTCTCTCAAAAATAAAAATAAATAAATAAATAAATAAATAAACATTAAATATATTCAAATGCTATGAATGATTGGAAACTGGAAACTGGAGTGGCCCCAAGTAATCAAAAATGGAAGTAATGGATACAAATGACCACAAAGTAGTAATCGAAGGGGAAGACATTAATGCGGGGATTATGTCTTACAACAGTGAGCATAGAAAAACAAGATACTGTGGATAAGAATTAAATACAATAAATAAATATATTAAATATTGACAGAAGCAAAAGATTTCACTTGAAAGTGCTTGAGATGCTGATTTTGAGAGCTGCCTTTGGAGATAAATGTAAAATAAAAACATGGGAGAACATTTGAGAGTATTCAGGAACAATCTATGAGTCAATGAATACTTAGGGATTAAATCACATGAAAATGTTCCATGTTTCTACACAAAAAGCCATTGATAACACAGAAAGCCAGACAAGCAAAAGTTACTCTGGGTAGTACTATCTATCATCTATCTATCTATCTGTCATCTTTTCATTTCTTCTATGGCCTTATTTAAATCTACTAAATCTATCACAGGCCAATAAAGTGAAAAATCTCTCATAATAATCCTTTTTTGTCTATTTCTGGGTTTTTAAAATTCTTTTCCTAAAAGGTTTTCTAGCTTTGCGCAGTGGCAGTATCGTAGCCAATGATGTTTATCCGAGGCGCGATTATTGCTAATTAAAAGGTTTTCTAATTTAAAGTATACATTAATGGGACTCCTGGATGGCTCAATTCGTTAAGTGTTTGACTTCGGCTCAGGTCATGATCTCGCGTTTTGTGAGTTTGAGCCCTGCATCAGGCTCTGTGCTAACAGCTCAGAGCCTGGAGCCTGCTTTGGATTCTGTGTCTCCCTCTCTCTCCCCCTCTGGCTCTGCCCCACTGCCCTGCTTGCACTCTGTCCCTCTCTCAAAAATAAAGAAAACATAACAAAAAAAAAAAAAAGAAAAAAGTACACATTAATGTTGTATATAGTACATTAATATGTTATGACTTCATAATATTAACTTTATAATAACTTATTACTCTCAAATTTTATCTTAATGTAATTTTGATTGTTAATATTATCACCAGTTTTCTTTTCTACAGGACAATTGGTAAATCTTTGTCCAATATTAAACTGTGAAGTTTATCTTTCCACTTATAACATCTTTTTTATGCAACAGTGGCGTAATATGAATGGGCTAACCAAGAAGTTAAGGAGGAAATTAAAAAGTACATAGAAGCCAATGAAAATGGTAACACCAAAGCCCAAAACCTCTGGGACACAGCAAAGGTAGTCATAAGAGGGAAGTATATAACAATCCAGGCCCTCCTAGAGAAGGAAGAAAAGTCTCAGATACACAACCTAAACTTACACCTTAAAGAGCTGGAAAAAGAACAGCAAATAAAACCCAAAACCAGCAGAAGACAGGAAATAATAAAGATTAGAGCAGAAATTAATGCTATCAAAACCAAGAAAACAGTAGAACAGACCAATGAAACCGGAAGATAGTTCTTCGAAAGAATTAACAAAATTGATAAACCCCTAGCTGGTTTGATCAAAAAGAAAAAGGAAAGGACCCAAATAAAATCAAGAATGAAAGAGGAGAGATCACAAACAACACAGCAGAAATACAAAAAATAATAAGAGAACATTACAAGCAATTATATGCCAATAAAATGGGCAATCTGGAAGAAATGGACAAATTACTAGAAACATATAAACTACCAAAATTGAAACAAGAAGAAACAGAAAATTTGAACAGACCCATAGGAGTATGATAGGAGTATATTTGTTATACTAGTGAGGTGACTCATGGTTGGCCCCAAAATAGCTACAGGATGGGAATTGGTCACCCAAAACACATGTCATATGACAGGTTAGCCAATTTTGGGCCACCTGACCTCAGAGGAGGTTGGAGCTTCAGATTGAGCTCAACCATGTGATCAATTATTTGATTAAAATGTCTATGTAATAAAACCCCAATAAAAACTCTGGATATTGAAACTCTGTAGAGATTCCGAGTTGGTGAGTACATCGGTGTGCAGGGAGGTGAGGTGCCTGGGTGCCACATGGAGAGAGGGCAGAGAAGCTCTGGATACCCATCCGTTGGCAAGGAACTTCTCTGCACATTTCTTAGTTTGGTTGTTCCTGATCTGTATCCTTTATCATCAAACTATAATTGTAACCGTCATGTTTCAGTGAATTTTGTGAGTTGTTCAAGCAAATTATTGAAACTGAAAGGGTCATTGGGAACCCCTGAATTTGTAGCCTGCTTGGGATACACTTGAAATTTGTGGCTGCAGCCTGAAGTGGGGACAGTCTTGTGAAGGATTTTGCACTTCACTTGTAGGGGTTGTGCTAAGTGTCAGAATTGAAATGAATTGCAATATACCTATTTACTGTCATGGAATTAGTTATGGAACCGTGCAACACAGTAAGTTTTTATCTTAATACATCTTTTGACAGGTGAACTTATGACATTTACTGTTTTGGTTACAACTATATTTAACTTATTGTCATCTTAACACTTTAAAAAGTAGTTAAAGTTGCTATAGTTACATAATTTTTTAAATTCATGGATGTAATTTATATCTTTTCATAGTTTGCTGTGGAAATTAGCTGCCCACTTTCTTTTGATTCTCAGATGCATAGGTATACTTAATCCTTTTATTTTACAGTACATTGTCAACATGTCTGTGCAAAATCCTTGTTTTCCCCTTTCATCCTGGATTCAGGATCTCGTTTCTCTCCTTTGAACAATATTCTTTAATGTATTTGACATACATATCCTTAAATTATCCATGTAAAATATACAGTATTATGTCTTACGTGCATATTTGAATTGTGCTATGCATTTATTTCCAACTTCACTAAATGATGACCATTACTGTATTTAGCTTCTAAGTTTTCTTTTCAACATTTTTAAAAGTTTATTTAAGAGAGACCAGAGAGAGCGTGAGTGGGGGAGGGGCAGAGAGAGAGGGAGTGAGAGAATCTGAGGTAGGCTCTGTGTTGTCAGTGCAAAGCCTGACATGGGGCTCTCTCAACTGTAAGATCATGATCTGAGCCGAAATCAAGAGTTGGTCACTTAACCAACTGAGCCACCAGGACGCCCCGCTTCTAACTTTTTTTTTATAAAATATTTTTTAAATGTTTACTGATTTTTGAGAGAGAGAGAGACAGAGCATGAGTGGGGGAGGGGCAGAGAGAGAGACACAGAATCTGAAGCAGGCTCCAGGCTCCGAGCTGTCAGCACAGAGTCCGATATGGGGCTCAAACTCACAAACCATGAGATCACGACCTGAGACAAAGTCGGACACTCAACTGACTGAGCCACCCAGGTGCCCCTAAATTTTAATATATAGTATTCCACTGTATGAATGCACCATAGTTGACCTATCTCTCTAATGATCTTATCCCCCTTTCTGATTTTTGGGTTTTTTTTTGCAATTCTGATGAGTATGAAGTGGTATTTCATTATAATTTGCATTTTGTCTCTAGTAGTTAGTTTGAATATCTCATTATACATTTGTTGGCCATTTGGGCTTCCTCTTCTGTGATTTGCCTGTTCAAATCGCAGCAGGCTCAATATTCTTGTTTTGTTTTATTTCCAGGAGTATGTTGTATATGTTAATCCCTAGTTTTATTTGTGTCAAGTAATTTCCCTCATTCTGCCATCTCTGTGAAGTTCTTTGAATAGAAACTGTTGTCAAATCCATTTTGTTTTCCTTTTTGTGATTTTTGGGACTTAAATCATTTCTTATTCCTATGTCTACATTTTAGCTTATTAGTTTTTAGTATATGTTTGTTCAACGTGAAAACCTGGGGTCTGGCCAAAGATGTAATCATGGGGAAACACCACACAAATTCAAACTGAGGGACACTGTATAAATTAATTTATAAATTTCCAATGTGTCAAGGTATAAATATCAAGGAAACCCTGACGAAACATTCCAGACTAAAGAGAACTGGCCATGAAATACAATATGTGGTTCTAGCCTAGATCCTTTTGCTGTAAGACCCACTACTGGGACAAATGGTGAGAATTACATGGGGTCTAAGGATTCGACGGTAGTAAGGTATTGGTGTTAATTTCCTGATTTTAATGATCATACTGTTATGTAGGAGAATTTCCTTCTTTATAGGAAACACACACTGAAGTATTCAAGGAGTGGTGAGGCGTCAAGTCAGTAACTTACCCTTAAACAGCCCAAAAGTAAAAGTTTTTTCAACTTTTCTATAAGTTTGTGACTGTTTCAAAAATTTTTTTTGTTGTTCTTCAGATCCAAATAGAGGTAAAATCAGTAACCTTTACCTGAAAACAAGGTCATTCTGCAACAATAGGAGCCCATTTTCCAATTCTTTAAATAGGAAAAATTATAATGCACATCCCAACCCCAAATCTCCAATTTCCTAGAAATGTAACAAAATATGATTAATTACCCATGTACAAACAAGAAGCTATCATGTTTGAATGTAAAATGCTTAAAACATGGCTTTCTGTTCACCAAACAAAATGGTTTCAATAAACAGTAGTTTTGTACATAGTAGTTTGTGGGGGATAAGCTTAGGAATCCCCCAGGCTTACACCAATGGGTTAACAAGGCATAAAGAAATACAAAGCCATGGGGTGCGTTTAAGCGTCCAACTTCAGCTCAGGTCATGATCTCGCAGTTTGTGAGTTAGAGCCCCATGTCGGGCTCTGTGCTCTCAGTTCACAGCTTGGAGCCTGCTTCGGATTCTGTGTCTCCCTCTCTCTCTGCCCCTCCCCCACTCATGCTCTGTCTCTATCAAAAAATGAATAAACATTAAAAAAAATTTTTTTTAAAAAAGAAAGAAATACAAAGCCATAAAATGCTCACACCTGAGTTTGGGTAAACCAGATTGACACTCCAAGAATAGGGGGGGTGCAAAGACACCCCGAGAATAGGGAGGCACAAAGGTGCCAGGAATAGGGAGGTGCAAGGGCACCCCAAAATAAGGAGTGGGTGCTGACCCCCAAAAATAGAGAGCGAGAGGCAAAGGCCTGAAGTAGAAATGGCACAAAGGTGCCCAATATATAGGAATAACAAGATTAGATATTCAGGGTGAAAGCACCCCAAATTTACTACTATAGGAGAAAAGCTACTTTCATAGAATAGGGCCAGGTTAGGTAAATTGGTGGACCATGGACCACTGTGCTGCAGGCAAAGCATCCCGGAGCAGAGATGATTAACAAAATAAAAGGTGCCTTATTAACCCTGAGGTTATTCCCCCTAGCTGTCTCATCCCCAAGGCTGGCAAAGATAAACAGGCATGGCGCCTCCTGTCTGCTGTTAACAACCATCTACCCATCTGCCCGGCGCCTGGATTTTGTTTTATATTGACCCAAACCCCAAACACAGTATATCTTCAAAATCCCCTTTCCCCCCTCACATCCCCAAGTTAATGTTCCTAGTTTCTTTGCCCTTTGTACATGCCCATCACATTTGCAAGCCTTCTGATCTGAATAAATACGGGGCAAGGACCCTTATTCAAGGCTCTTGTCTTTTCCTAGACATTAGCCATCTCTCGTTTTAATCCTGAGTCTGCTCTTTTGCTGGCCAAAAGAGAACTTTAGACTTAGAGTCTACAACAGTAGTTATCTTGTCTATCTACAATTTTCTTCAATATGCTCTCATCTGGCATGGCACTCATGACATTCCAGGAAAACCAAGGGCTACACATGAAAGATGAATGTGGAAAAAAAACCTTTAGGACAAACATGCAATAGTGGAGAAAAAGGTTCACATTGAGTATTA